GAGCAGGTGGAGGCAGGACCAGCAGCACCAGGGCTGCAGGAGGAAGCCGGACGGCGGGGAAGGGGTGGTGCCCAGCATAGCTGGGACTGAAACTGGTCCCTGCAGACACTGCTGGGCCTCAAAGGGAACTTCCGAGGGAAAGTTTGAGAGCGACACGAAGATGATGTTTGACAAGGAAATGATGGAGCCCTGAGCGCCCTGGGCTGGAGAACCCTCCTGCTCCAGGGATGCCAAACCAGGGGCCATCTGCAAATAGGGGTAAATGAGGGAATGCAGGAACAGGAAGAGCAGCCAAGAAGCGGCAGTTCAGCAGTAAGAGCCCTAGTTCCTCCTCAAGGGACACCTGGACAGCTGACACGGTCTTGAGCTCTGCAGGAGCCAAGGCCCCACCAGGTGGAGGGCGGGTTGATGCTGACTGACTCTCCTGGCTTCAATCAGCCAAAGCGTGGACTCCGTCGACCCTGGCCCCAAATCTGCTGAATTCTCCTTTGTTTGGGCCCCTTAACGAACACGCGCGCGCCCTCAGCTTAAGATTCCCCAGTTTCGCTGCTGAGGACACACTGCGTGGGATTCCTGCTGCCCTGACCTGCTGCAGCTAGTAACTGCTTCCTCCTCTCGATCTCTGGCTCAACACCAAGAGGTAAAGTCCGCTTTGGGTAACAAAATGTTCTGGCATAGTTTTTCCCAAGAGCACTTGTTAAAGAAGGAAACAATTGTACAAAACTTGCTTACAAAAATCAGAAGTACGAACAGAGAGACAACAACAGCAGCAGAAGTCAGAAGCAAGCCACGGGGCTGGGACGGAAGGCAGCCTGACCCTGCTGTGCTCCGAGGTCACGTCACACGCCTGCGTCCTGCTCGGCGGGAAGGAAGAGTGTACAGAAGGCGTCTCAGCACATGCACATCGTGACCTGTCCTCCAGGCCCTCTCTGGGTTGATGGGAGGGAAGGGGGCAGGGCACAGCCTTCAGAAGCATGACGCGGCCACTGGGGGCGCGACATGAGCTGCTTCGCGCCAACAAAGCCCACGATGGTGGAAGATTGGACTTCCAGTCGACCCTGAGCCTCATGATGCACTCACACAATACTTCAGCTGCCACGTGACACCCCCACAGGCGCCGTGACAGTCCTGAGCTGACCATACAAGGCCCCAAAGTGGACTCCGGGAAGTCCCCGCCCCTTTCCCAAAATAGTTGGGATAATCCCCCCACTTGTTAGCGTCTAAAGTTCCCGAGCCCATAAAACCACCGCACCCAGGGCCTGTCGTGCTGGGACGGCCCACCCTCTGTCCAGGGACTGTGCATCTCCCTGAATAAATCCGCTTTCATTTTACTTCTGAATTCTTTCCTGCATGAAGCCAAGGACCCTCACTCTCAGGGACTTCCTGGAGACCAGGGACATGACCACCCTCACAGACCCCCATCACCCTGCATCGCCCTCTGGCCTCACAGGCATCCAGAGCCAATAGCCCGTTTCCTCATCTCAGCAGGAATTCTCCCCCAAACTCCAGACGCAGGGTTCCTCAACCTCTTCAGCCCTCCCTCTCCTTGTCAAGCAGGCCTCACCCTAACCCTGGACCCCTCTGCCCTCCCTACGTCATCAGCAGGTCCGTCCACACTGGCCTCCCTGTTAGAACAGTCCTTTCAAAACTCTGCTCTGGGAGGGACGTGGAGGGACGTGGAGGGACGAGGTGGGACTAAGTCTAGGAAAGGACAGTGGCCACAGCCTTCATCATGTGAGTGAAGCACGGAGTCTCCGTATCTCCCCAGGGTCCCTACCAACCACAAAGGGAAAGGTGGCTTTGTGGTGCAGACGCCCAGGGACAGGATGTCAGCACAAACAGGACAGCCTGACTTCATGGGCTCTGGGCACGACGCACAGGGGCTCACAGGCAAACCTTAACCAGTCTCAAGGAAACATCACAGACTCGGCAAATGACCCTCAGAACGTCCAGACGCAGAACGTGGCCTGGGTTCTCAGAGGGGATTTGTCAGGAAAGCACGCGTGTGAAATTACTAGACGGTTCCAATTTGAATTGGCATCTGTAATATTGCATCGATGCTGAACTTCCTCTTGACAACTGACAAGAAGCACCAGTTCCCACATGAAGCAGGAGGGGTAAACGGCATGGTGCCTGCAACTTGCTCAGACGGTTCAGAAATGAAAGTTCTTACAGACGACAAACCACACAGGACACGATGTGAGCAGCTGGTCAGTCTAGAGTACATGAACGTTCTTTGCACATTTACTACACATTTGTGTGCATTTGTTTGAAATGACATTAAATTAAAAAGTCACAGAATCATCCTCTGACCCCCTTGCTAACGCTCCCCTCTAAGGCCCGCTGCCTTTGCCTGAAGACACTGGAAAAGCCCCAGAGGCCCCCCGCGGCATCTCCGTAGGGCCCAGCCACGTCCACCTGCAGTATGGTCTGGTCCTCGGCGGGGCCCAGCAGCCTCACCCAGCAGAACCCACCCAGCAAGACACCCACCCCAGCAGAACTTTAAGGGCCGTCAAGAACCCCCCAAGGACACACCCAGCGACCCTCCCAGAAGGGAGGGCGGTCACACCCCGGCCCAGGAGCAAGTGGGTTGCTGAGTCCACGGATGGGAGGGTCCCCGATCGCATCAGCATCCCAGGGGGTCCTGGTTTAGCTTGTGGGGAGGGATCAGCCTTCCCCTGGCTCATGGGGAAAGGGTCACAGGGGACACATCCCACTGGGAATAGGGGATGGGTCGGGGGGCGATCTGACCACGAGGTGACACCCCAGGAAGGGTCTCCACCGTGGCTAGCCCCCGCTGCTCTCCCTGACCTGACTCCAAAATGCCTCTGCATGGTGGGCTCTCACCTCCACCCATGCGCCCCCACCCCACAACCTGAACCTCTTCAGGGGCCCCCAGACCAGTCCCTGAGCAGAGGGCCATCCTGGTGAAGACGCTGGACAAGCGCACCCTCCCCCCCAGGAGGAGCTGGCAGCCGCACCCCTTCCTGCCCCCACCTGAGGTCTGACTACTGGCAGGTCCTCCTCCAGGGCAGGGCCTTATGGGCTGAGGGTTCCTCCCTGTACCCCAGGCCCACCGCCCACCATCCTGGGTGCCCTGTCTCCATGGGGTCTTCCCCAGAATGACCTGCTGGAGATGCCCCAGTGACAACGAGGGAGGGTGGGGTGGGCTGCACCCCAGTCCCACAACGCACCCTGACCGAACACGCGGACTCCAGGCAGGGCCTGTGCGCAGAGTCTGCCGTGACTGGGGGTCCAGTTGGGCCTCCAATGCCAGAGCCCGCATCCTGCCTGGAGACGCAGACGAGGCTTGCTCCCGAGGCCGGAGATCTGAGTTCACACTCCTGGCCACACAGCCCACCGGGGTCTCCAGGACCTGCTGCTGCAGGAGGGGTTGGCCGCTGATGGAGTGTCGTCTGCGTGGCAGATGCTGGGCTGCAGGGGACGCGATCCTGCCTGTGGCCCGGAACACGTGGAGCGCGGGACAGAGCCCACCGCCCATGCTGGGGGAGGCACGGGGCAGGGGGAGGGGTCCCACGCCCACAGGCCCTCAGCTGGTCTTGGAAGGGCGCTGGCCCAGGGCAAGGGCAGGCCACCCCACAGGCGCTGCTGGGGCCTCTCACCGAAAGCAGCTCAAGGGAGATCATCAGCATCTAAGCTGAATCGCAGAGCTTTTAGGAAAAAGAACACTTCACAGCCTTGGGGCAGGCAAGTATTTCTTTCAAAGGACATGAAAAGCACTTTTAAAAAGATCGATAAACTGGATTTCATAAACATCGAAAACTTCTGTTCTTTAAAAGATGCCCATGAGAAAAATGAAAAGACAGAGCATCGACTGAAAGAAGAAGCTCAGCATACACATATTTGATGAAGAACTGTATTTTCTGAATCTTAAAACTCAACAAATTTGAAAAGCCCAGTTTTCTTGGAACGAACAAAATAATTGAACAGACACCTCATACTGAAAAGTATACAAGAGACCACATGCATTTGAAAAGGAGCTCAAATCCCTGGCCGCCAGGGAAATGCCAGCCAAAGCCAGAGCGACACGCTGGGAACCCGCTGGGAAGGCTCGGTTTGGGAAGACTGGCGGTACCGGTGGACGGGGCGCCGCGGGGCAGGCGGTCCCGGAGAAGGAGGACCAGGCCTAGCTTTCTTGGCACGAGAAGCCGTTTTCGGCCTCCCCGTTCCATGATCTGAGCTGTTCCCAATGCTTGGCCTTGAACAGGAGCAGGTCTCAGTAATAAGATTTTTTCTATTCATTTTTTATTTTGGGGGAGGCAATCAGGCTTTTATTTGTCTGTTTATTTTTAATTAATATTTTTAATGCATGCTAGGCACATACTCTGACCCTGAGCTACATCCTCCCCAGGATAAGACCTTAAGGGAACAGAAGAACAAAGGACTGGAACCAGCGGGAGAAGCGGCAGGGGCAGTGCGTCAGCCTTTCTGGCTCTCCCGGCTTTCATCGCTGCAGCTCAGACTCTGTGTGCCTTAGCCCCGAGTCTACGCCGAACTCTCCCCCCCTGCTCAGGCCCCTTCACCAACATGCACGCAGCCTTAGCTTAAAACCTCCCCGGGTTTGCTGCTGGGGAGCCACTGCCTGGGAAAGGCCCGCGGTGCCCTCCTTACCCGCTGCGACTCCTGCACCTTCCTCCTGGCCATCCTTGGCGCCGTGGTCTGTCAGCTTCACACCCTCCGGGAGTGCGTGCTGGTTCCGGGAGCAGAGCCGGACTCAGCCGCAGCACCGTGCCGCCCCCACTCCGCCCTCGGGACGTCGTTCCGCCCGCACCTCTGAATCAGGCTATGAAATTAATCCTGGGAAATTGTGCCTCAAAGGCCAGACGCTTCCTGTGCGGGCAGCTGATCAGCTGGGTTTACGTGTGCTTGCGAGTACTTAGTTGACAGCTGAAGGAAATCGGGCCCTACGTGGCCAAGACGGGGTTCTTCTGGGCTCCGAAACTGAATTTTGAGCACGCGGTTAGAGCTGGCAGCCTTCTGTGCCTGCAGGGTCTGCTGGAAACAGCCGTGGTAAGTGTTTGCCCTTTTCTGAAACTAGATTAGCGGGAGAAACACAGGGCTAGCCCTTGGAGCCTTGGGATTGGAAGGTCTGCTAAATTGTTGAAATTTTAGAGAGCTCTCATCTCATACCATTGCACCCATTTTCTTTCTTTATTTGTTTCAACTTTTCAATCATAGTGCACACCCCCTCCATTTCTTCTTCTTTTCCTTTGATCCTATCTGACCAGGTGTTTTGAAGCTTTTCGATATTTTGGACAAAGTTCCCAAGGTCAAATTCTAAATGAAGTTCACTTGACCTCCAGCTAACTTGAAGGTTTTCCAGAGGGTCACAGGAATACCTCAGAACACTCGTTTTTCTCTCCATCTCAGAGACAGAGATTAAATTAACCAGGCTTGTTGGGTATGTCAAATTACATGGGAAACTTTACCTAATGAGTGGGGATACAGCGTCTTAGGTTGTGCCATACAGGTGAATGCTATTAACACAGATGTTCTAGACATCATATGGAACTCCCGAAGTTCTGGTGTGTCCTGGTAAATGAGCTCAGTCACGATTTTAGTAGTTATCGTAAATTGTTGTATGTCCCAGGAACCACCTTTCTTCTTGTCAGTCGCATTGTAATCAGATCTTTAACCTCACATTTTTAAAGACTTTCGTCATTTATGGACAGTTATGATTTTATCCTGATGTTTTGGCAAAAATGCTTCATCTTCAAAAAGATTCATAGAAGACTTTTTGGCAGGTACAGGTTTCTGATAACTTTCAGATCATAATGCTGAACTGGGTAAGAAATTAAAGAATTTCTTCTGGAAAATCTGATGGCTGCATAAAACTGTTAACAGAAGATCACGGATCAGTCACATAGGGCTGAGCAAACGTATGAGTATGGGTATAATTTTAGTTTTTCTCTCTGAAATATTACTTACTGGGTTTTAATCTGCGTTTTCCAGATACAAGGAACCCTTTGGACTATACCCCGCAAGTAGAATTGCAACATTGATCCTTTCCCTCTACCTGATCCCTCCAGAATCTGGAATCTCTTAGGTTCCCAGCAGCTTTCTCAGGAATATAAAGAAGTCCAACTCCCAACTGGTACAGGAATCTCCAGGCAATCTGGGGACGTCAAGGAGAGAGGAATTCACCCACATCTGTCGATATCACAGATGGAGTCCACGACACACCTCTGGCCTGGCTTTCTTGGCCTGGGTGTTTTTAAAGTTTAGCCTGAGGATTCCTCAGGAGAAGTTTTAGCACAGCCAATTTAAAGAGTCTACGTGGTCAGTTAACCAAACTTATCTCACAAACAATTAGTCTTAATTTGGCTATATTTGGTAGGGAAATGAGGGTAGTTTTAGAGAGAAGGTTGTGTTTCAGTGGGTATTAAATTCTGGTTTTGCTAATTGAGGTCTGTGTCTACTGGCTAAGACTCACCTTCCGGACCACGCCCTGTAAAGTTTGTTATTAAAAGGTCACTCTAAGTTTGTTTCTGAAGCTCATCACGAACTTTGGAAGAAGACTGGATTCACCACGACCTGCAACCAGGAGATTACTCATGCTGGACAAGACATCAGATAAAGTGCTCTTTGCAGCCGGTTTGGAAGATACCTCATCAAGCCTCTCCCGAATGAACTGCAAGTCCTGTTTCTTTCTTTCTTTCTCTGTCTTATGAGGGGGAGGTCATTGAGTCTATTTGTTTATTTATATGTGGAGGAGGTGCTGGGGATGGAACCCAGGACCTCCTGCATGCTAAGCGTGCTCTCTGCCACCTGCGCGGCACCCGCCCCCCGCAACTCCTGCTTCTGACCTGCGGCTTCAGTTGGGACCAGCACTGCCCGACCAGGACGAGACGATGACACCCGAAGCAGACGGCTGAGCCAAGACGCCAGGCCAGGCCTGCAGCACGTAAGGTGACAACTGCTCACAGTTTTGCTTATGAACCAGTGTATTTCCTCCTTGGGCTCAATCATACGCAAGTTTCAAAAATCAATCCAAATGCTGAGTTTGTGGCCAGTTACCTACGCCTAGTGCTCCCAGGTGGACTTGGTGGATTTCTCTCCTCCAAGGCTCTAACTGAACGGCCTTGAGAAATTTTGTTTTAAAAGCACCGTACGAGCTAATGTTACCACCAATATCACTAAGCGAGACCCTCTTACTTGGCCAATTAGCGGGGACTATACTGAACTGGGCCATAAATACGGCTTTTCACCAGATGTTGACTATTGAGTAGCTCCTAACAGGACCCAGTGGTTGAGGAAGCACGGTCACGAGCTTTGTTCGGGGTATGCACCGTTGGTTTCCTCTGAGCTCAGGTCGCCTACGGGCAGCCGTGCAAACAGCCCCTGTCAATCTGCGACATCAGTCTGTAACATGAGCAAGCTGGTTTCTGTCAGGTTCCCAGTGATATGATCGTTTGGCCACAGTATTTGTTGACTCATCTTATGACCCATCAAGTGTCAGATTTCTGCTCTGAATGATCTTCCCAGTTCGGAGAATACCAGGGAAATGGTTTAGTTCAGGAAGATCTTGACTTAAATCTTCGCTAATGACATTTTGGTGATCATCGTGAAACCTGTAAGGTGCTAGCTCCTTGCCTTTCATGGTGCGTCGTCTGCTCTAAGATAATGATGCCTAAGCGACCTGAAACTATAGATCACGTCTAGAGTTCTCTATATCGTGATGGACATACACCATGCGCATGTGAAAACATAGGCTTCAGTCTTACTGAACTAGAACCGGCTCTCAGTCCTTGCCGAACAGTCTTCTAGTATAGCCCCCACCCCCAGGCCCGAGAGAGAGAACTGGCTGTTAGGACCCTGCACTGAGGGGCGCGACGGGCCCGAGGCAGGCAAGCAGCCACCCTGGCATCAAGGGACCAAACGTTTGCTCGCCTAAAGCTTTCTGCTGAAAGACTAATGATCAAAGAGGGGGAAGTTGTGAAACAAAATTCACATTTTACGGCAAAACAAGGATTTAAACGTGGTTTTTTTCTCTGCCCGTTGGCCTCTTCTCTCCCAGCACTGTGCACTGTGTGTCTGCGTTATGTGTTGACCAGACCTCCCCGCTCCTCAGAAATGCCTGCCCGACCGTAAAAAGCAGCGTTCTCCCAGCATCAGCGGGACGTCTCCTTAAAGACAACACTCCTTCTTGGTCCCGTGAGGGGCCGTGACGACGCTTAAACCTGGACTGTGTGAACCGTCAGTGAGGCGCCGTGTAACATGCAGCCCTCTGTCTCAAAGTTCCCTAACTGCCTTGACTCCCTGTGGGCAGAACCGTTCTCAGAGGATTCTGAGATGCTGTTCCTGGGTTATAATCCTCAATTTGGCCCAAATAAAATTTCCATTTCTTTCTTAGATCAACTGATTAACTTTTCATCCGCACAACCTAGAACGTAGTGGGGGAAGCCCACAAAGTAAACAGGATGAGGAGGAAGTGTTATTCAGTGCAAGTGGGAACCCACCAAAAACAGTGTTTTTCAAACTTTTTGCCTGGAATCTGCAACCGAAGTTTCCCAAGTACCACTTTGACTCCACGTGACGCACACTGCGCCTTCTATCCTGCTCTCCTTGTTCCCTCTGTTCGGCTGTATCCTACTATCTTCATGTTTAAGAGAACACAATCTTCTAAACTGACTCCACAAACACTAAAATGTTACCGTCTGTTTGAAAGACAGTAACCAAGAAGCTATGTCAACCATTATCAACCAGAAGCCAAACCTTAAAATACACAGAGCACCCAGTTTGACCTATAGATTTAGGGCAATCCCAGTCAAAGTCCCAGCAGGTTATTCTGTGGACATCGGCAAGGGTCACGTCGGGGGGAAACAAAAGACCCAGAAGAGCCAACACGATACTGAGGAAGAAGAACGAAGTCAGAGGACGGACACCGCCCGACTTCGAGACTCACTGTAGAGCTGCAGGAATCAGGACAGTGGTGCTGGTGAAAGAACAAACAGATCAATGGGGCCGAACAGAGAGCCCAGAAACAGACCCACAGACAGACTCCAGTGGTCTTTGACAGAACAGCAGAGACAGTCTCTTCAACAAACGGTGCTGGAACCACCGGACGCCCACCCACGTGCGAAGGTGAATCGAGACCCAGGCCTGGCACCACGCACGGAACGAGCTCAGAGTGGGTCTCAGACCTAGAAGCAAAACGCAACACTCCTGGAAGGTAACACGGAAGAAAATCTAGGTGATCCTGGGTATGGCGATGACTCCTAGGTACACCACCAAAGGTGTGATCTGTGAAAGAAATGCTAGATAAGTAAGACTTCATTAAAATAAAAAAATAGGTCCTGCAAAAGATAGTATTAGGAGAACTAGAAGACACGCCACAAACTAGGGGAGTATATTTGCAAAAGACACACCTGATAAAGGACTGTTACCCAAATACACAAAGAATTCTGAAAACTCAACAATAACAAAACAAACAACCCGATTTAAAAACGGCCAAGTACTTTAACAGACACCTCACCAAAGAAGACATACAAATGGCAATTCTCAAAACTCAGAAGCAACCAAGACGTCCTTCTGCAGGTGAATAAATAATAAACTGGGGTGCATCCAGACAGTGGAATATTATTCAGCACTAATCGAAATGAGCTGCCAAGTCATGAAAAGTCATGGAGGAAACTTAAATGCACTTAACTAAGTGAAGAAAGCCAGCGTGAAAAGGCTACAGACTGAGTGAACCCAACTGCATGACATTCTGGAAAAGACAAAACTATGCAGACGGCGAAAGGATCAGGGGTTGCCAGGGGCTGGGGAGATGGCAGGAGGAACAGGTGGAGCCCGGGGGACTTCAAGGCAGTGAAACCCCTCGGTGTGATGCTGTGCTGGTGGGTGCACACCACCATACACGTGTCCAGATCCGCAGATGCACAAGCAAGAGTGAGCCCTGGCGTCAACTTCAGGCTCTAGTGACAGCATCCTGTCCGTGTAGGCTCACTGGCTTTAACAAATTTCCCACTGTCATGAGGCTGTTGGAGAGGCCTTGCCGGGGGTAGGGGGCATACAGGAAACCTCTGTATTTCCCACTCAAGTTTGGTGTGAACCTAAAAATAAATATGAATAATAAATAAATAAAATACATGATGTATTTTAAAGTATTTTATTTAAGAGATGTCAAATCAATTCACTGGACAAATTGGAGACTGTAAGTCACCTCTCTCAGAAACCAAAAGATCAAGCTGAACAAAAAACAAATCCAAGTATAGAAACAAAAAACAAATCCAACAGCTAGTTAACTAGCCTGTTCCAAAAGATGCGAAACCCACTTGGCCAAGAGAAAACACACGTTTTGTTTTCAAGCACACACGGCACTTACAAGAACTGATGTGGTACAGGCACCCAGCTGGGTGGTGGGGACCCCGAGATAGGGGACCTAGGCTGGGGCTGCGTGGGGACTGGAGGGACATTTGGGAGATGAAGATCATGTGGGACAGGGCGGGGAGTCCCTCCCGAGGACACCTGGGCTCTGGAGACCCGACACGCATCTGGTCCGCACACCCTGCCATATACAAGTGCCCCTCCCAACCTGCGGACTCCCGCATCGGTTCTGCCAACGTGGGGCCCAGCCACACTGCAGGGAGTGCGTCTGGGATGGACCGTGCGCTCCCCATGTCCCTGGGAGGGGTGGGCCTTCTGTCTGTCGACTGGCTGTGTTGAGGCTGCACCTGTGCCCTTTGACCCTCTTCAACGTTTTCACTGATCAAAGAACAGGTTTTTGTGGGTGTTCTGCAAATCACTGGAGGATAAAAGTTGAGTTAGAAGGGCCTGCCTCACCTTCAAGCCCCCACCCTTTCTGGACCCTGCTCCCCACCAGCCCTGCTCTGCTCCTGGCAGTCCTGGCCAGCCCAAGGCTGCAGGAACCAGTGTACACAGGCCACAGCTGAGTGAGGCGCCAGGTGCAAGCTGGATCCACTACCAGAGTTTGGACCTTCAGAGGAGGAAGCAGCTGGTGCTTGGAGTCAGGGTCCCCGCTGCCCTGGGTCCAGGTGCTGAGTGTCCGCCACCCTGAGCCTTGGTGTGCTTCCCTGCACGCCTTCTCCACAGTAACGACACTAACAAGTGCTCAGCCACACCCCTCCCAAGCAGCCTCGTAGGGGTCCACCCCTCCCTGGGCATCTGTGGGCCCTCAGATCTGGTGGCCCAGGAGACAGTTCTGGGGGCAGCACCATCCACCCAGTTGCTCCGGCCAGCCTCCTAAGACCTCCCCTCCAGACGCGGCACCCTCCGCCACTCCGGGGCCATGGGGACTGCACTCCTGCCCTCCCACTGCCCGCCCTCCGCGCAGTGGTCTCTCCTGGCCACCCAGATGCTCCGTTCATGTCCCTACACCACCGTCCACTCCTGACATTTCCTCTTGGGTGGTTCCCAGGCCAGAGGACGTGAATCTTTGAGCAGGAGCCTCAGCCTTGCTCAGAGGAGGCAGTGCTGAACTGTGCCCACCAAACGGGCATCGCACAGGCTCCACACCAGCTGCTCCACGGCTGAGGGCACGGTAAGGGCAGCAGGGCCACCCGCCCATCTGGGCTACGGAGCCCCCTTCCCACGCCTTGCCCACGCACACGCGTGAGGAGGACCCTGAGGCGTGGCCGGGGGCTTTCCTCCTTAGTGAGGAGGGGGCACCGTGGTCATGAGACCCCTAGGAAGGGCTGTACTGGGAGCAAGAGACCGAGGACACAAAGGGACCCACTTGGCCACCACTGGCCTAGGCACTCAAGGCTCGGTCAGCAACTGCCACTTCCAACTCAGGGCCAACCAGGCAAAGCCGAAGGTGCCCCCCAAACCGGTTGTGAGGCCAGCCACCCCCGTGAGCCGCACAGACCTTCGCTGCCCCAGCTTCCCTGCTTCTGCGAGCATGTATCTGTTCTCTGCCCAGGCAGGCAGGCCACAAGCACAGGTGCTGGGGACATGGCAGGAAGACCCCAGCCCTGGGTGCCGGCAGGAGCTGCATCCCCAGGGACGGGCCCCAACATGGACAGCCTTTCAGCACAAGAGGCAAACACGAGATATGAAAAATGTTTTAATTTTAAATCAAAGTACCAAGCAGATACTTGCAAAACAGCATACAAAGTAGAACTCAGATGCCTCCCGTCCCCAGGCTGCCTCTGAGCCCCTCAAATCGAAACCCAAGCACAGGACAGCCCCTGCTGCCAGGGCTGAAGGGGAGGAAGGGGCGGGTGCTGACAGTGAGATGGCCTGACCCCCAGAGCCGGTGGTCTCTCAGAGGACAGTGGGCCCCTCCCCACACCCTGGGGCTTGGGGCCCGCCAGGCACAGTGTCCGCGGGAGTGGCTCCGGGCACCTCCGAGCGGGCAGAGGTGCCATGAGGGGCTGCGAGTTGACTCTGAAGCCTCCGTGGCTTCCATCTGTATGGCTCTGAAATGAACTTTCCACCCAGTGCCCCACGGCCTGCAGGTGTGGGCGGCTTTTGAGGACACGGCAGGTCTGACTGGGACAAAGGTTCCAAGGACAAGACACCCAGTTTTGTTAGCGACACGGCCTGCCACAGTCTGAGCCAGACGCCCACGGGGCCCCACCGCTGCGTGTATCAGAGATGAGGCTGGAGGAGAAGCGCGTAACAAACGAGGAAGTGACATCGCGCAGGAACCGGCGACCCATGACAACGGCCGGCCAAAAGTGACGAACAAGACAGCCTCAGTGCTTGATGTGGGGCGAGGGTGCTGAGGCGGGGTCCTGGGCCCCTGACGGACACAGGACGGATGGACGGAGCCCAGGTCCCTTCAAAGTGCAAGGCGGACAGTGGCTTCTCTCCGGGTCTCTGCAGGTGACAGGAGGCCCGGGGTGGCCGTGGGGACCCCCTGCTGCAGCAGCTTGAGGCAGGGCGGCCTCTGCCTGGTCTTCTCCTGAGTCCAAGATCAGAACTGCAGCTAGCCGGCTGGTCCACACAGCCTTCCGCGGGCATCTGGGCACCTGCTTTGCCCAGCGCTGGCCCCCAATGCCCTGGGGCACAGTGTCAGCCAACGGGGTGCAGCCCACCTCCAGGTGGCGACAAGGTCCCGGGGGCTGAGGCTGCCACACCGGCCCCAGCAGCACAGGCGCTCGTGGGCCCCCATCGAGGCACGTAAGCACTGGGTGTGGACCCGCTATCCCACGCCCGGCCCAGGACTGACGCCCAGGGCTCGCCCGCCAGCACTCCCTGGAGGCCGTCCCTGCAGCCCCTGTGGACAAAACACTCTGGAACCAGAGCAGACAGGGAAGCCTAGGCACTCAGCATCGCTTAGGCTGAAAACACTATAAATCTGACTCTTCCTAGAAGCCGACTAAGGAGTTCACTTAAAAACACCCACAGAGCGTGTGCAAGAGCCCGAGCCCTGAGCGTCTGCCGGGTGGTGGGGGGCGGTGCCCCACCCTGACCCGTGCTGCTCAGGCCCCTTGGCCCTCTGGCCAGGCGGGTGCCGGAGGTCTCATCCCGACTCCACAGCCCCTGAGCCACGACAGACCTGCTGACACCTGTTCCGGGGACGGGAGGACAGGGTGCTGGCCACACTAGCCCTACAGAAAACTGTGGGAAGAAACCAAATCCATAGGATCCATGAGTCTCCACACTTGGGGGCAGTTCCCAAGACACGTGCTAGCGACGGCCTCCCAGCCGGCGGGCAAGGGCTCTGCTCCCCGCTGCGCGCACGCCACCAGCCACACCTGGGCCTCCATGGCCTCCCCCGTGGGCTCCCGACCAGGGCCCAGTGTGTAAACAGTATTAATAAGCAACAAGTGGAAAAATATATTTCCCAAGAAAACAGGAGGAGGCTCGGGACTCGGAGACCATGTGCCAGGCCGTTGCAACGCCCCTTCCTCTCCTCACGTCTGTTTTGGCGTTTCCTCTCTTTGGTTCTGCAGCCCCACGTGGCCCCGTGGCCACTGGGCGCTAGCGCCGAGCTCCCACCCGGCCGCAGCCTGAGAGGCGGCCAGCCCTGTGCCCGCGAGGGCCTCACCCTCCGCTGACAGCTACTTGTGCTCGTGGCCCTCTGCCATGGCGGCCACCTCGATGGTGGCTGTGTGCTCCTCGGGCCCCGGGGCGGCCACGGCACTCTCCATTGCCCCCGTGGGCACTGTCACGATGGTGCTGCCCCCGGGTGACACCTGGGCCACGTTCTGCAGGGTGGGGCCCAGGCCGGGCAAGGTGAGCAGCTGCAGAGGGCTCACAACCTTGACCACAGTGCTGCCATCCTGCATGGCGGCCGTACTCAGGACCGTGAGGCTGGAGGCGTCCGGGTGAATCTCCACCGTGTTGGGGAAGGTGGTGCCTGAAGAGGCCAGTACCGTGTAGCCCCCCAGCAGCGGCGAGGCGGGGGAGCCGGCCGGAGCAGCCTGGGGGGCAGCCTTGCCCAGCACGGGGGAGGGCAGGGTGGACACCACTTTGCCCAGGGGCACGCCGGCAAGCTGGGAGACGGGCACGCCCGGGGTCAAGGCGATAGGAGCAGACTGGGCAAGCACCTGCGAGGCGATGGCAGCCGGCCCAGACGTGGCCCTTGCAAGCCGGGGCCGCTTCACTGGGGGCGGCAGGGAGACGGGCGTCAGCGTCATGAGCACGTTGCTGAGGTGCTGGGACTTGTGCTTGAGCTCCTTGGCGCGGCGGCGGTGCTCGTCACACTGCTGCTCCAGGGCTGCGGGGACAGGGCGCGGAGTGACTGTGGGGACGGGGGTGGGGGCGTGACTGGGGGGACGCGGACAGGGACAGGGTGCAGGCGTGATCACGGGGCCAGGGTGTCCTGGGGGGCAGCAGACCACACACAACCTGCCCTGACCAGGCCTGTGCGGACTTGGTGTCTGACCGCCCCATCCCTACGGTGACACCCTGTCCTGTCCCCGCAATTCCCCTGCAGTGACGCTCTCTGAGGGCCAGTCTGATGGGGACCTGCCGCTCCACGGAAGCGTGAATGCGTCTGAGGCAGCACCTGCCAGCTGCCCGGCGTGGGGACAGCCTTCCCTGTCCTCTGTAATGCCTTCTGCCCTCCTAATGTCTGTGTGGGAAGCTGCTCTCATGACGTGTTAAGACACGGAGATCACGACAGACACGTAACCTGCCTGCCTCACACACACCCACAGGCGTGTCCCCAGTTAGGCGCCCCAGGAGCAGGGAGGGAGGCACAGTCTTGCGGGTGAGCCGTGGGGCTGCAATGCATCCAGGGGTGGTCTGGCGAGGGTCGTCACGGTGTCAGCAAGCCGGGTGCCCCCAAAGCCCCCTTGGGAAGAGTGCTCCCATGCAGCGGTGCAAGGGCCCGCAGGGGAGACCAGCATACCTGCCAGGTCGCGGGCGTACTGCTCCCGCGAGCGGTCCATCTGGCACTTGTGGCTGGCCAGCACCTTCTTCACCAGATCCAGCATGCCGAAGTTCTGCACGATGTTGTTGAGAAGGACGGCGTCTGGTGGGGGGTGGGGGGTGCACACGGTAAGGACACCGCCTGCAGCAGGCCTGGGGGGCACCGCGCGGCCCCGAGGCAAGGAAGGGCCTGGGGGGCGTGGGTTACCTGCCCCCCACCCCCCACCCCCCAAGCTGAGGTGGCTGGGCTCAGCTCTGAGCTGGGAGGAACAGGCTGCAACCATGGGCCCCCCACCCCGCGCAGAGCAGACACGGCCCCTCACCTCGGAGCTGCAAGGGAGGGTCCTGGACCCGCTGTTGCAGGCCCTTCATGGTCTCCAGCAGCTCCTGCTGGAACTCCTGGATGACCTCGTCCAGCAGGCCAGCATCCTTGAGCCCTCGCCAGAAGGCAAACGTGTCATCTGTGAGAGAAGGAGGGGCTCAGAGACGGGGGCCTGTACTGGCAGCCCCCCGCAGGCTCAACCCCAGGGAGGAACAGAGAGCCGTCTGGAGGACGAGGCTCTGCGGGCAGCAGTGTCCCCGTGATGACAGGCGGGAGTCCGGTGGGTCGGCCAGGCGGGAGACGGCATTGAGCACGCCTCCAGACACTAGGACAGTTGCCAGTGCCCGGCCCCGGGCAGAGACCCCACAGGCCCGTGCCTCCACCGGGAGGGCTCTGCACGGCCTTGCCCCGGGGCCCTCCACCGAGAGAAGCTGCAGGAAGGGCCCCGTACCTCCGATGGCCGTGGTCCAGTCCCCAGGGTCCTCACAGGTCTCTATGGTGATGGTAGCGGGAGACCCGTTCACTGCAACCAAGACGGGACGGCGTGAGCGTCTCTTGCGATGGGCCGGCATCCCCCACACTGCACCCCAGCTCGAGACTCTCCTTCATCCCATTTTCACAAAACTGCCGGACGTGCACGAGCGCGACAGAGGACTCACGTGCCTCGGGTTCTGAGCTCCCCCTTAGGCACACAGAGGAGCAGGCACGCCCCAACCCGCCAGTCTCCTCAACGCCCCGCCGCTCCTGTCATGCCGACAAGGAGCTGCTGCACCCGCCAGCCGGGGCCACAGGGTGGCCTTCCTGCCCAACCTGCTCTCAGGCCTGCAGCCTGGGGCCCTTTGCATCTGCCTCACCGACACCATCGTCCATTGGGGCCACTACCACGCTTCCATTTTTGTAAAGCCCCAAAAGTGGGACGTGGACCGCTGTATGCCACCCAGAGATTCACCTCTGACCCCGTCTCTGGCGTCTGCAGAGCCCTGGACACGGTTCGGATTTGGACACTTGGGGCTTAGAAATAAGCCCAGCAACACAATGTCCAGGTAGACTTTTTGGCCTCTCCCACAGCTGACGGCGGTCCTGCCAGGGGAGGCCAGATGCTGGGAGTAACTCTCCTAGTTTGGGCTCACAGGGAACCTTCACGCTACAAGTGAGTCTGCGTTCTGAGGACCCCAGCTGAAGAAACCACCACGTGGGTGAGTTTAAGAAAAGCAACAGACTCGTCCAAACCATCGCGGGATCACAGGGTTCAAAGAGCTAAATCCCAAACCCTCTACCAGACACAGCACCTGAGGTGTGAGAACCCGGTCCCTTCCGAGAGGTGGGTCACCGCGGACGCCTTCTGTAAGGCAGAGCAGAGTCTGCACCCTGAGGAGGCCCTGTTCTTGCGGAAGCCACCAGCCCACCAGGAGTGGGATACGCATCTCCTGGTGTCTTCTGGGGTTGGGGCCTTGCCATGACCCAGCCCCACCCACACTGCCTCGTGCAGTCCCAGGGGCCAGACCAGGACCCAGACCACTTGCAGACAGTGACCACTGGATGAGCAACGGGCCGACGAGGGCTAGGCCCCAAAGCCAGTAGCCTGCGTGTCCCTGGAAGGATGCCACGACGGGGCCACTGCCAGCCAGGCCGCCAGGCAGGGCGTAGCGACTGCACAGGGGATGAAACCCTGGCCTCACCTATGCCCCCGGGTCTCCCTCACCATCCTCCCAGGTACAGGGCAAGGCGCCTCAACCAACCACCGTCCAGTCTGCGATAAGGACGGCCCCTGGCCACACGGCAGCAGGCCCAGACTGGCCGTGGGGTCACAGTGCAGGGACACTGTGGCTCCCATCTTGGGAAGCATGGCCCCACCCAGTTCTCAGTGGGCAAAGCGAACAGGGGCCTCATTTCATTCCAACTGCAGTTTTAAAAAGAATCTCTACTCAAAACCCTGGAAGAAGTTCCAGGGAGTGTTTAGTCCTTCCACGCTTCAGAGCTACGGACACCAACACAAAAGAGTGTCACACATGCGTCAGCAAACGCAAGCGGCAGGGAACACTGAGCGGGAGCCTGGCCACGCAGGCCTGCGGCCCCAGGGCGAGGACGGAGGGCAGGCCGGGCGCTGCCCGTGTGGCCGGAGCGGGGCTGGGCCCTGGATGCTTGCCTGGTTCTTCTTTGTACACATCTCTACACACGAACAACTGTATCTTACAATGAGAATGGCTTAAAAGGAGAACGCGCTTCAACCTTCCCTGTGGAGGGAGCTGCCATTCAGCCAGACTTCCTCGGTGGGGAAGAAGGAGGTGGCCACTGACCCCTGGGGCCCAGAAGGGACAGTGAGTAGGTGGGGAGGCCCCGCTCAGGCTGGTAGCAAGGGCCCAGCACATACCATCGGCCGTGGCGGGTGTGAGAGGGATGTACTCGGCTGGCGTGGGGCTGCCCAGGGACGCACGGGCCCCTGAGAGGTCGATCTTGGTACTGCGGCAGGTGTTGGAGCAGACCCTGTCGTGCTGGTAGAAGTCCAGCTCTCCGGAGTCCATGATCTTCCTGTGCAGGCGAGGGGACGAGAGCTTCATGGGGGGCCCAGGCGCAGCTGGACGGCCTATGTGACTGGACAAAGATGCCCCCCTCACCCCTGCCCACAGGCATGTGCTCAGATCCGTGGAAGGAATTGGGGGGCCTGACCTGGGCAGGTCCAGGGTGGCCTCTCCAACACCCCAGCCCAGCTCCCTCAGCCAGCCGCCCTGGCCATCTGCGTGGCTCTGTGGGAAGTGGGACCATAGTGGCTGGTGCCCGAGGGAGACACGAGGCTGTCCTGGAGGTGCAGTCAGCACTGTGGGGGCTGGGCAATCCCCCCGGATGCTCTGCTGCCTGCCGGCCCCAGGGACAGCCCCAGGGCTGACAAGGTGTGGATGACGGCAACCCTGCCCAGTGCACAGCTGGAGAGGTGGAAACCTTCCACCAGCACCCCGGCTCCTCACTGCCCAGAGGCTGCATCACGCCCGCACCTGCCCCGATGGCCTCCCTGGCCCTCCTCTGCAGCCTGGCCCAGAGGTCCTGGATTTAAGTCCAGTGTCTCAGCTCATCTGCCCTGAGCTGCCCTGGGGCTCCTGCCACCCTCAGCCTCTGCGCAGCGTGACTGCATATGGGTGGACACACTTCCCAACTGTGCTCTTTCAATGAAATGGCTGCGGCTAGGCCACCGAGACACTCAAGATTGGTGAGCAGCGCCTCGAGTGCAAGGCCCCGGGCCAACAGGAGGGCGCAGGGCGGCTGCTCCAGAGGGAAGCTGGAGTGGGGAGCTGCAGGGTGCCCAGGGTGTGCTCCCTGAGGGCAGAAGACAGCTGGGTGCCAAACATGCCTGCAGACGGCAAGAAGCCACTCCTCCCAAGAACAAATGCACAAAGGAGAGGAGCAGAGCAGCCCCCCAGCTGGGCCGGGCCCCGTGAGAACCAGCAGCCCCGTGCACAGCCGCACAGAGGGCCCCGGTCAGAGGTCTGGCTCTGGCCGAAGAGGAAACGTTAACATGGGGAAACGAGGCGCTACTATTCCAGGGCCGTCCACTCAAAAGCTCAGTTTGTCCTCAGGCTTCTTGGAAGGGGCACCACCCCTCGTGTCTCATGGGCGCAGGGAAGCAGTCAGAACCCCCCCACAGGAGAGCCCGAGCAGGAAGCCCCAGACCTCAGACTCCACGTCTGTGTGCGGTGGGTGGGGGCCGGCCCGACGCTCCCCACAAATCCCGAATCAACCTCAGCGGGAGGACGAGGTGTCGGGAGAGAGCGAGAACAAGACCTCGGCACCCACAAGGGCCATCACGCCTGACTCCAAAGACAGGGAGGTTGGGGCTCTGGGCCGAGGCCCCCTGAAAGGTCAACGTCACAACTGTCACAGCATCACACAACAGTCAGCCTGGCGCAGACCAACACGGCCAGGGAGCACAGACGTGGCCCCGACGGGCCCCTTGCCCGGCAGACTGGCCGTCCAGAAGGGACAGTGACTGAACAACGGGCCAGACTAACGCACCGCAGCTTAGACGGGGCATGCTCTCTACTGGGATCCAAGTTTGGTGACGGTGGTGGAAGAGACGAGCTCGCTGCGCCTGCAGGGGACGCACGGGTGGGACGCACTCACAGCAACCTGTGGGTTTCGCACGCCCACTTCAGGAAGAAGTACAAACCAACAAGGCATGGAGGCTACACTGAGAGATCAGGCCCAGGTGCCTCTCCGACGTGCAAAGGCCGTACGGCAGCACTTACGTTTCACTGGGAAACAGCTGCGAGTGCTTCTGGTAAAGAGCTGGCGGATGTCAAACTGAGACAGAGGCCCTTGCAAGCCTGACACGGTCGCACGCTGGCAGAGGTGTGGGCCGTTGCAGCCCCAGGGATACTGTCCGCGCTCCTCGTGGGTGCAGCGCACCTCACGGGGTCAGCTGTGCTGCATTGGCCCCGCCCCACCCACCGCCCCGCCCCACCCCGCCCACCTGAGCATGATGCCGTTCATGCGGATGGCTCGCTTCCAGTCCTTCAGCGTGGACTTGCCCGCCAGGTGCACAAATTCCTTGGGGCTGATGACATGCTCGTCGTACTGAGGGTAGAAGAGCAGCCAGCGTCAGGACGGGCCCCACCACCCTCCTCACCAGCCTGGTCCCCCGTCCAGAGCCGGCCCCGGCAAAGGGCACCACGCAGGCCGCAGGCCGCTCTCCACCTGACACTCAGGATCCAGCACTGGTGACTGGTGGGCAAGAGCACCCCGTTGAGACCAGCCCAGCCGGCATGCACAGTGGCCACAGCGGGTGGCCAGGTGCCCAGCCCGGGAGAGAGCTGAGTGCTTGGCGGCCTCCCCAACAACACCCCTGGGCCCAGCACTGGGGAGGGCAGAGGTGACCACATCACTCAGAAAGGCATGGCACACTCCCCCTCCAGACAGCACCCAGCAAAAGCTCCTGACGCGTAATTTAGCCCAGATGGGCACACACATCACACCGGGCGCGGGGCGATACAACGCACCCACATCCGGCAGCTGCGGACGTCCCCTCGGCCGCTGCCCCGGCCCAGCAGCACCCGCCATCACGGAAGCACACATCATTTCAAAGTCAGGGAACTAAGAAAAGAAACGCTGACATACTGAGGAAGTCATTCTGGCTTATTCAGTTGTTCCCTTAAACTTGATGCTAACGAAAACAGCCTATTGTGACCCATCAAGCAGGTATTACACGTCCGCTTTATTATTACAGAAAAGAGCGCACTGACCAGAAGTAAAGAATGCCCATGTTAAAAGTAAAGGTTCAGTGCCCCGATCCTGGGTGCCAGCGCCAGTCCTCTCTCGCCAACGAGCCTCCCGTCCCGGGTGCCGAGGCCACGCCGTGCGTGCAGCACGTGCTGGGCTGCTTTCTGAGACCTCGAGGAGA